CATTTTACTTTTGTATCTGGTTGAGGTCGGATAATTGTTGGGTAATTTAGTCCAGTGATTCCCAGCCTATGGGTCAGGCCCCCTCTAAATGGTCACAAGATAAATGTGAGAGGTTGTAAAATTTCAGTTTCACTATATATATATGTTTTATATACATATATCTCAAATGTTGATTTGAATTGTTGTGGAGTCAAAGAAAAAGTGGCATTGATTGAAAATACTAAATACAGCACTTCAGTAACTGTGAGCCCCTTCTCATCTTGGGGTGTCTAATACAGCTAGCTACGTTCGTTTTAAAGGTGTTGACAGCCCCCTTACCATAACCATCAGAAATGTTAGTGCATAAACCTAAGTCACTGACTTGATGCATGTCGACTGGCTAACCCTACAGCACAGCTGATGTGCTAGCAGGTAGGGTTAGCCTCCTTTGTGTTGCTGCAACGTAGAAAACGCTGGCGTTTCAAATGGACGCTGAAGGGTACCTTTAGCGTAAAATAATTATGCTTTGTCATGTTGTCTGAAAGCGTCGGTAATGACGCACTGAGATGAGAACGAGTTGTAACTGCACTAAGTTACTGTTATAAGTTATGCAACACTTACTTCACACTATATAATCATACAGCAGCAATTACATTTCCTTTCATCTTGAGTAATATGAGTGTTTTGAGTTACATGTTTCTTGAAATGTATTTCCAATCACTTCAATGCTTAAGTGTCCATTTCATGCATGATGTTACTCATGATGTAATCAAAGGTCGGTTTGAGCTGTTTTGGTTTTAGAGCTGCTATCTGTTCAAACAGCAGTCATCCACATTGTTTTTTCTCCACAAGACTGCATGTATAGTTATGTATGAGCTTAATATCCAGTTGTATTTTCTTTATGTACCCCAGCATTGTTGCAACGATGCAACAATGCTGGACTGAAGCCTGCTTCAGGGACCACGGAATGACCAGATCACAAAGCACTAACAAAATCAAAGTGAATTTATAGTGAATTCTGATTAATCTAACATTTCTCTGCAAGCAGTGTTGGTCATTCACATGGTGTTTAGATTTTGCGAGGAAAGATAAAACTGTGTTGACATTATGCAGTTGCATGTGAGGCTGGAAAACAGTGACATCCAGGCGGATGTTTGGAATGATGCCTGAAGTTTGATTGGTATCAATGTTGTAAACATCACAGAGGGAGCCACTCAGCGTTAGCCTCAACAAAGACCATTTCCCCATTACCATTATCAGAAAGTCCATGATGTTGATTTGGATATATCCATCTGGTCATCATCTGTTGACTGGGATGACGTCAAAAACCTTTTATCAGATAGAATTCTCACACTCTACATGGCCAAGCTGACAATTTGCAACGGAATGCATTCCATCTCAGCTTTAGAAGAAATGGCTTCCTTCCTTCTTTACTTTATACTTCCTTTCTCATTAGTCCTGTAGATGCCTTATAATTGTTTTACTTTGCTTCTGCATACCACGCTGTTTTTCATGTGTTTGAGTTAACCAAATCAATCATACTTTACTTAATTCTGGCAGAAATAAAATACTAGGGTTTGAAATTAATGTTTCTGATACTGTAAATGAAAGGAACACAGCTGAATTTAGATGTTTCTATTCAGTGACAACATTAAAAATAAAAGCATTTAAAGTTTTAAGACTACAAAATGACTGCATCTTGGAACAACAATTACAAATTACATGTCACACTATGTGGCAGAAACTAACATTTGTCTCAAAGTTCTGTAAGTGAATATTTAGTTTTTTTAGTTGATCATGATCATGTTGTGAAACATACTTTTTTCTCTGTAGATAACGGCCTGCAACATACAGTGTTTCTGGAAATTACCCTGTTTTTTTTACCATACAAAAAATGACATTGTATATTTAGAAGAATAACGCTGTACACTGCAGGCCATATATCCGCTTTACACTGTACACACTTTACACAGTTACAAAGACGTGCAGTATAAAGTGCTTCATTAAAACAACAGTTAGCAACTATAGATAGTTGTCAGATACGTATGGTAAGCACAGATTTTGGGCTTCGTCACTGTACAGGTACAACCGTACTAGGGCTGTCCCCGACTAAGGATTTACGTAGTCGAATTAGAATCCTGCCTATAGTCGACTGATAGTTGAATCATTTGTGTTTTTGTGCGCTGTGATTGTGGGAAGTGAAGCTGTGGCTCCGTCTTTTCAGCAAGTGTTCCTACTGCCACTACACATATGCATACACGCTACGTCTACACATGCGCACTGATGACCCAGGGTTAAGGTTACAATTTTGGATTTATTCACACGGAAAACATTTATTGGAATTTTTTTTCTTTTCACATGTTTATTTACAGCATTAAACGTTGAAATGTTTATTGTAATAGGTTGTATATTAACTTGTGAGAGAAAACTGGTAGTTCTATGTAAAATCAGACGTTCTGCGCCCCCATTTCGCCAAAATGTCATGATCCTCGTTTTCTGCGAATCTTCAACTATTCGGGATCAGCCCTAAATGGTACTAAACACATTCAATTTGAGCATTAAACATTGAGCAGAGTCAGGCTAACTTTTTGCCCCTGCTTCCAGTCTGTTTGATAAGCTAAGCTTAGCGTGATTAACATTCTGATGTTTGGTGGACAGTGGAAGTGTGTCGACCATCATGGAAAGGTTTTTTGGCACAGTTTGCACCTTGGCGCTTTCATTCGGGGTTCATTTCATTCTTGTTATTGGCTACAACTGCGAGCAGCTAATGGCCTAGCAATTACATATGTTGGCTATTTGGAGCTTGATTTGGAACTTAGGGATCTTAGGGATGAATGTGATTCGCTGGTGTTTGGTACATTTTGGCTCCTCCCTCTTTGACTCACCCTCTGTCTCACAGGCACCTGGTTCAGTCCTTACAGCCCTGCAGAAGTGCCACCAGGCCGCCCTTCAGGTTTCAGGGGGCCTTACTGGCACAGTGAGGGTTCGGGGTAAGCGAGCTGTAGGGTTGGATATCGTTTAAAATTTTATGATACCAGTACCAAAACCATTACCCTTAAAGTGATAACGATACCAATAAAGTACATTCGATACCTTGCATAAAATGCCACCTGTGG